CCCCCCCCACTTGGCATTCCCTCCAGGGTGCTCTCTGTACTCACAAGTCATCAGGAGAGCCGTTGGGGAATTTCCCATAGGATCCAAGACCATAATTATCTGGGGATATAATCAGGATGATGATCACAACCACAGCTGGTACCCCTGGGAGATAGGAAACAGTGGTCGCACATAGTTCTAATAAGCAAAGGTGGTGAGAATAGATAAGTGTGTTCTATCGCCTTCTGGTGGCAGATTTCAGAGCTGGTTGTCAAAAAAGGTTTCCTCTGTGGCAAAGGCTGACCCTCCCTCAGCCTCCCTTGCAGCAAGGTGGTATGGCCACATGACTAGGTTTTAGCCAATGGGATACGGGCAGAAGTGGAAGGAGAAGGCTCTTCTCAGCTTCAGATAGCTTTTGACTATGAAGGAGTCCTTTGTACCCATCACCTCCAGCCCTCCCTTTGCTGACATGGCTCAAACTATACAAAGACCACTGTGACAGTCAATCCCAAGAGTGGTAAATAAAAAACAAAATCTTTCACAGACAGATTGAGGGACCTGGCATAATCTGATATAGTATTTCATTTAAGTACTTTATGTGTGTACCTTCTGGAGATTCTGGCTTATGATAATTTCCTAAGTGAGACAACTTCCTAAAAAATGAATTATTGTAGTGTGGAGCTTGTCCTTGTCAAGGGACTCTTCTCACCTATCAGCCTTTTAGAAAGAAGACAATCCACACCAATGGATTGTCAGAAGCAGTCGCTTATCTTTCCGGGAAGAGGAAAAAGAGAAGGTATTTTCTGCTGCTCTTCACAAGGACATGTAGGGTGACAGGGTGGGGAAGGATGTGACATCTTGTTATATAGGGACTAGCTGAAGGAATGCCTAAAGAGAGGGGAATTTGAGAGGAATGGCAGCCATAGTACTATAAGGGATGTAAGCTTGAGAAACCTCAAAGCCAAGTTGTTCTCAAGCCATGTGAACTGGGTAAATCCCATCATCCCTTGGAACCAGTATTTTTACCTGGCATTAGCAATCACTGCCTTGCAAACCTTACTGGCTTGTTTTTCATGGGGTTACTTGTGAGAAAATTAGGACATTATACAGAACATTATACATAATGTTACAAATATATTACTTGATCTAAATAAAAGACTCTTTTAGCAGAGGAAGGATCAGCTTATTATTTTTTGCCTGAGAGAGCAAAACCCAGACCACTGGGCAAATGCCACCAGGGAACCAATTGAACTTACTAGAAAAACAGAGCTAGAGAGCTTTAGAAAATAGTTATTACCTGTCTTGTAAAGTAATGAGCTTCCTAACAATAGAAATGTTTGAGAAGAGGTTAGAGTATCTTTAGTCAAAAATAAGTCAAGTTGATGAGGTTCCTACATTTAGAGGGGAATTGAATGAGGAAATCTTCCAGATCTGTGGATGGGGAGGCCCAACTTTGTAAGCCACCACCAGCAGTGGCATGATCTGAAGTTTGATGATAACATTGTATTAGGTCTTATCTGTACATGCTCTCCCTCTGCCCTTCTGAGCAGGTGTGTGGCATCTTGCAAGTAGAGAACAGAGTTGGGCTACTGGGAGCTCCAGGGCTTAGAGTCGTACTTCACTATCGCCAAGCTAACTTATTCCATTATTATGCATTTTCTGTGTCTGTGTGCCAGTTCCAGTTCAAATTGCTACAGATACAAAGAAGATTCATAGCTCTGATCTCAAGTAATTTTATGTTCATAACCAACCCAAGGGAAATAGACAGGTGTTCTAGAAGGGAATTTGACAAGGTCACTCTTTGGTGGCAACATGTAAGGAAAATAACCTGTCCAGTGTAACTTGCTTCATCATTGTATCTACCTGATTAAAAAAATCAAACCAATGGAGAAAATGTAGAGAAAGCCCAGACAAATGTGCAAGTAAGATTATACATACCCCAACCAACAATGCAGAATTTAAGGATGTATTTTCGAATATATGTATTAAACACTTTCACAAGGGCCAGGTACATATGGAATGCTTCCAGGCCCATCCATGTGAATGAGACCAAGAGAAAATAATGCAGAAATACAGCCACTGAGATACAGAGGCTTCGCGTGTCATACAAAGCAATCCAAGAGTCCAAGAGAAACACCAGGTTCAGGAGGAGCAGAGCCGCACATAGCTGGATGAGGATTTTGGAAGGGTAATCCCTTCGGATCTTTCTAAAAGGAAAGGACAAGAGAAGAATCAGCATCACATTCTGCCAACCCTTATACGAGCATATCTGCCAGTATGTCCCTGTGCTCTATGCAAATTAATTTTATTCTTTGGTAAAAGTCTAGTACGTAAATTCCCTCACTGAGTATTTATGGGCATTAATACCAACAACAAAGGAAAACTCTAAATAGAATTATCCATGATAAATAAATGGAGAATCCTTATTTATATTTCTATGAAAACTTTTATGCTGTCTGTTGACCCACCCTTTTAGTTTGTAGTAGACTCTACTAAGCATCCATCTTATTGCTTCCAAAATATTTCTAGAAGCATTGCTGCTGCTTCTCATACAATGGGCTGCCATAGCTTCAAAATAGCCAGATTCCCCTATTATCTTATATTACTAGTTAAATGAGATCATGGAAAGATGAGTTTAAACTATAGCTAAATGCAGTAAACATAGGAAAATACAGCTAACTGATGACATGTACATATTTATGTGTGTGAAGTTAGCTCTGGTGAAATCATTCTGAGTAATGGTTGGCTTTATGGTAATTCAGTCTCATTAATAATAATTCCAAAGGTCCATTAGGAGATCTGTAGTCACAGCTGGACCCTAAGTTTGGTACTGAAAGTAAATTTGTACATTTCCTGATCATTTTCCAAAATCTAAATCCCAGAACTTACATAGTGTTTCATTTAGTTAATGAAATAAAAGCACCTATTTCCTTCATTATCAACAGAATTTACTGGAACCCTCCCCACAAAATGTGAGCAAAGGACCCTCTGATAAACTAAGGAGATGCTATTATAAGGATATTATTCTTACTTTGACTCACAAAGCCACACTCATGAAATATGTGGGTTTTTTTCCCATGAGGCTTTATACCCTTTATTCTTCTTCATCCCTGCAATCATTAATGCATTTAATCTTTCATGTTTGTGCAGTATAACTTAGAAAACTATTACATTAAAATAGCTCTTATGTGGCACGGCAGACCTCTCTTGACCCGCCCACTGCTCCCCTCAGCAGTGTACTTCGTCCATCTGCCTCTTCTGCTCCCCACTCTGTCTCTGGTGAAGTCTCTCGCTGCCTCTGAGCTTCTGGCCTGTACCCCAGTTCTATATGCACAAATAAATTAATCTTTAAAAAAAATAGCTCTTATGCTATACATGGAGCTATGGTTTATCTCAGATTCTAAGTTCTTGGGTTTCGGGTCTGTATCCATCTCATATTTCATACTTGATGTTGACTAGGTATCAGGCATCATTCTGGGGCACAAAGACAATTAACTGTGCCTTCGGTGAGTTTACAGACTAGTGGAAGGAAGCAAGCATATAATCAAAATAATCAAATGTCCCATGAAGTTTTTTACTTATAGGGGGCTACAGAATAAGGCAGGCTGAGGGCTATACTTAACTAATTCATTTTGGTAATGGAAATGAGCACTGTACCCTGTAATCCAAGTTTCCAGTGTGGATACTCACTCAAAGGCTATGTAGGTTACCAGAGTAACTGACAGAAAAATTGATGAAAACCCACAACCAATATATGTAATAAATGTCAGAGCCATCATCTGAGCAGGTGGTAAGGATGTTCGAGATAGATCCTAGAAAATAAAATATTGCTTTTAAGACCAAGTATTTTTTTTATATTATAATAGTTTATTTTCCCACCATTTTGTGCCTTTTTCCATCTCAGTTGTAATCCCCATAGGCTTCCATCACCAAATCACCCATGTGCCATCACCATAGTCCCAGGCACTCCCCCCCCACCACCATTTTTGATCCCATTCCCCACTCTTTGGTATATAGCTGTTCATTATTATTATTATTTTCTCCCCTAAGACCAAGTATTTTTAAGTAAATAAAAGAGCAATGGGTTCTACACTTATTAAGTGTTCAAAATGCCCATCCATACTCTTTTTTATAAACCTACAAGGAAGGCACAATTTTTATCATAAGGTCAAGATAATTTAACTGAGGCCTGAGAGGTCAGTAATTTGTCGAGGGTTCCCCAACTAGGAAGTAGCATTGCCAGGTTCAAATTCAGGGCCTAGCTATTTAAAAGAGGGAAAATGAATGGAAAATATACTTCCACATTCAAGTATTTTCCTTCAAATGCATTTTCTTATTGGAAGGATAATTTTATTGGTCTATAACTTTGCTGCAATATCCTATCTTCTGGTATATCAACGTTATCCATCAGATTAGAACTCATGGTATGATGCCCTCAACCCAAATCTAAGGCCACATAGTATGGGATATTACCAGCAGGACTCCGAAGCTTGTAAGGTGGTTGCAGGTACAGATGGTTTCATTCAGCCTTCTGTCTTTGACAGAGCAGCCATTGGATGACCAGCCTCCTTTGCCACCTGTTGGCATTTGGCAGAGATCTGTCCCATTAGCAAAGCCACAACACCAATGACCACCCCATCTTCCCTGATCCACCTCCTGTCCACTCAACTTTGAAAAAGGTATGACTAGTACCTACCGTTTCTGCCCAAATCCCAAAATACACATCTCACTGTTACGTCATCCTACAAGAAGAGTAATAATTAATTGAACTGAAAAAAAAAAAAAAAGCAATTTGGAAAAAAAAAATCTATGATTTTCTAACTTTCAGAGTCCCATTCTTAATTTTTGGTGAGTTCTTATTTTGCAATAATCCCCTGAAGCAAGTGACTTTCTTATAGACCATCACTTCTTAAACTTAGCAACTGTGCATTAAGAATCACCTTGGAGCCCATTAAAACTACACATTCTGATTCAGTGGATCTAGGGCAGGGCCTGAAACTGCATTTCTAGCAAGATACCAAGTGACACTGAAGCTGTGGGTCTGCAGATCACACAAGGTTTTAAGATGATGCATGATGTTTTCTGTGAACTGAACTACAATATTTTCTCTGGAAGTAAGCATCATACCTGCAACCATAGATCTAAATATCCTGAGATTCAGCAACTGACTAAAGCTTGCTTTTGCACTGCTCCTTCTTGGAAATTAGATGGTCAATAATTAAGCTAGCTAATAATAACCACATGATTCTAGTCATAGATGCTGTGCTGGTTTAAGATTCGGCTGGGTTGGCCTTTTTCAACCTGAATCTTAGAGGCATAGTTTGCACGAGGTGTTTCTGGCCAATAAATCAAGCAGTCTGGCCTCTCCCACCTGGCTTGGGTCGATGTGCCTTAATGTGATCGTCACGTTCCTTGTCAAATTCTTGATGGTCAGGTTTGCAACACTTGATGATATGACATAGCTGATCAAAGAGAGGTTCTCCAGGGCGGGGTCCTAGCACACCCAAGAATCAATAAGATGGCAAGGGAAGATAGAATGTTATCAGAGAGTCTTAGAGCCAGAAAGACTATTTAGTCTACTTGTACATTTTACACACTAGACCAGATATTAAGAGTCAGGGCGTAAAGTGACTTTCCCAAGATCCACAATTAGAAGCAGATTTTGTTCCATTATACAGTGCTGTAAATACTGAGTTAAATTTTACATTATCGTTCCCTCTTCAATCTTAAAGATAACAAAACATTAAGCCATTTCAGCTGTCTATTCTTGAGCGAGTTACCTGAACCCGCTGTGTCTCCATGCTCTTATCTGTAAAATGGGAATGTAATAGTTTGATATTGTAGGTCCTCCCTCACGTGATTGCTGAAAGGATTAAACATTTGTAAGTGCTTAGGATAGTGCTCTGCGGTTGGTTAAAGCTAGGTATTGTGATTTACTAACATCATTAGGTTCTGTTTAAAAATAACCTGTAGCTCTTTAGCAGTTCGTTTCACTTATCGTGGATGTAAGCATATCTGAGGACTAAAAGAAACAAAATTCTCCTACTCCCCCCAAAAAAAATAACATACGCCAAAGGCAAGTAGCAGCAGCTTTACCTGAAACAGGGCAGGTGTTTCAAAAAAGTTGAATTGCACCCGGGAAGCTAGCTCCATATCACCAGCTGGTAAGTTACTCATCAGTGATGAAGGTAGAGTAATAATGCCAATACTATTCTCAGGAGCCTGGGTTTCCAGAGTGACCTGAAATCAAGGAAAAGATAATACAGATGTCTAGGGCTAGTATCATGAGGCAATGGAAGAAATAATTAATTAGGATGGAGGACCCTGCAAGGGCATTTTTCTGTGGTGTCTCCATGTAAGACCAGCTTTTCTTTGATTTCTCAGATTACTGTGAGATTAAAGAAAGGATGTCCAATACTGAGATGAGACCCCCAAGCAGGAAAGAAATATCATAAGTATACACAGAAATGGTCAGAAAGTTCAGGATAATGTCAGTTACAGCTCCAGGAAGTTGGTAGAAAAAGAATAAAGTGCAGGATAATTGCAGACCCCAGGGACACCCCAGCAACAAGCCTGGTGGCTTATTAGGGCAAAGTCTTCATAGAACCACATGCATTAAACTTATCACCATTGGGCTTCCCTAGTGGTGCAAGGGATTAAGACTATGAAGCTATCAACAGCCACTGCAATAGGAGATCAATTCCCGGCCAGGGAGCTGACTCACACAGCACAGCAGACCTCTCCTGTTCTGCCCTCTGCTCCCCTCAGCAGTATATTTCAGTCAACCTGCCTGTTCTGCTCCCCACTCTGTCTTTGGTGAGTCCTCTCACCCCTGGCACCTCTGGCCTACACCTCAGTTCTTCTATGCATAAATAAGTAAATCTTAAAAAAAAAACAAACTTATCACCATTACCATTAATTTACATGGAAACATTTTTTAATCACCAGATCCAGAAAATAATTTACCAAATTGGGGCAGTCTACTTTCAAATAGTGAGGGACGCCTGTATTGAAATGGGGTGATAAGTAGCTAATGTCCCTACCTGTTCTCTACCTTCCACTAGACACACACCCCACCCCCACCCCGTCCTTCCCACACCCCTTCCCCAAACACCCTGTCCCACAACTTCCATAATCCAGCTGCTAAAGTGTTAACACGGGCACTAAGGTACTTCTGAGGTCCTCTTCCAGCAGAGACTAATGTTCTGTTGTGATTCTGTGGTGCCTCATTGTTCTACATGTTAAATGTTTTGAATATTACCCCTTGCTATAAGCAGTAATTGTCTCAGTCATGAAGTACGTGGTGACTACAATCATATACAAGAAAAGATTTTCTTTTTCACGATAAATTGCAAGGTACCTTAAGATAATCAGGGTCTTGGGCAGCAAAGGTAGTTGTGTTGAAATTACTAGCATTCACTCTGATCACGGCCAAAGCCAAAGAAGGGGAGGTTAGACTTAGGGTCTTGTTTACAAATTTCAGCTGTAAGCCAATGTCATCCACTACTTTCAGCAATCTGTAAAGAGAGGTGGCAGTTCAGATCCAGCATTTTATTTTCCCCAATCTAAGCAGATTATAGGGTATCAACTTGAGAAGACATGAACCTCAAATGTGGGAGAAAAATACTTGGCCGCAAAGAGCCACGTGAGAAGCACTGTTATCATTAGCAGGTCCCTGCTCATGACCATACTGGTTTGCTTAGTCATACCTTTGGGCCAGCGGGGCCAGCAAGGCAGGAGGGGAACGAAGGAGTTTGCTGACTTGGTTTATCATTTGTTCTGCGAGATTAGGTGCCAAGCAGCCCACGGATAGAATCTTCTCCATCTTGGACACTTCATCCTCAAGATCAGACACACTGATGCTGGTAATATCAACAACTTCTGTAACAGAGAGCCAAATCACTTCATGAACACATAATAGAAAATTCACGAAGAAGCACAAGCAGTGACCTGGCCAACCTCCGCCTAGTAGGTCTCTGTCCTACTGAAATGACAACATGTCTCAAGGAGACTTGCTCAGGAATATTTATAGTGGCTCTTGTCACAACAGTCCCCAAACTGGAAAACAACCCAAATGTTGTTTCCAGAAGAATGGACAAACAGAAGAATGGACAAAAGATGGTCAGCGCATACAATGGACTATTACTCAGTAATAAAAAGGAACACACTATAAGGAACAAGTAATAAAAAGGAACTGATACATGCAACAGCATGGATGGAGTTCCAGTTCTCCAGTGTATAATGGTAGGTGAAGCAGTTAGATTCAAAAAGTTATATGCTCTATGATTCCCTTCATAGGATATTCTAGAAAAATTGAAACTCTAGGGAAAGAAAAGGGATCAGTAACAGCCAGAGACGAGGGGGAGTGGGTGGGAGTTGATTACAAAGTGAAACGATGGAACTTGGGGGTAGTGTAAATATTCTATACGTATGGGTGTTTACCCAACCTCACAAAACTATAAAAATTTTGTGCATCCATAGATCTGGATGAATTTTACTGCATATAATTAAACTTCAAGAAAGTTAACAAAAATGTAACAGCACATCAGTATTTATTTAGTCTATGTTCATATAAGCACAGATATATTTAATTTATATCATACATGTAGGATTTTATGAGGTGTGAGAAGCTCTTGTGGAGAAGAGAATATTATGAAGTTAATAGCTGTACTGCCAGGTGTGAGCCTGATTTTTAACAGTTGGGTCATATTGATTACAACCTGCCTGCTGCTAAAAAGTTTCAATACCTAACATCCTATTCTTATTTTGCATATTCCCTTCTAATCTTTAGCCACGTGCTTTGATGCACTGTTATTCCCATGGTTGTACAGACTGTTTATTGTGCTGCTTTCACTTTGCTCAAGACGTGAAGAATGCCCACAAGTTTCTGCCTCGTGGTTCCAGTGCGCAGCTGCCTGCGATTCACTGGGTGGAGGAAGCGTGTGCTAGTTCATTATTCCTCTCTGGTAGAACTGTTAGGTTATACCTACTTTTTATCTGCATCTTTTAGGCATATGTCACTTTGCTTCTCCTGCTTGAAACCAAAGTCCCAGGACACAGGAAGCCACCTTGCCAGCCTTTCTGTGTAACCTGTGAAGTTGAGCTTAAGTGTCAAGGGTAATATTGTGGGAGATGGACTAAGACATATGCTAAGGAGTTCAATTTACTTTATCAGTCATTGAAACTTCTCTTGACTAGCGCCTCATTGATTTCATATTTTTTTTACTTAAAATGTCCATATTTATTTAAAAAATTGTTTGAGAGAGCAGTACAAATCTTAAGCAATATTGAGTCACCTGAGAGCATACAACCTGAGCTCCTATCCCACATCATCAAGAGCAAGAACTTGGCTTTGCCACTCACTGTCCACCTTCTAGCAGAAAACCAGTTTCTCCTCACTGAATGCCAGAGTATCTGGATTTCTCTGCTTCTTCTTCCTTTCCTTTAACCCCTACACCTACTTTGTGTCCAGGGAACCCTTTGCATTTTCTCTCAGCCTAGCGTAGTCAGTGTAGGTATTTTCCTCAATACGGCAGGTGGAGGCAGCAGGAGCTAAACAGCCTATCCCAGGTGATGTGGCCCAGAGGCCCATGCAGACCCAACCAGGCTTTCTCAGTGCTTCTCCTGTCACATTGCAGCTCTGTCACTCTGTGACTGACTGATGCTCAAAAACACCCATTTTTTCTTTTATCTGTCTAAACGGAATTATTGTGTTCAACAAGTCAAAGCTTTTCTCTTCACAACACTGAAATCAGTGACCCAACAACCTGTTAGAGGAGACAAAAACCTATAAAAGGAAACATCCTGGTAAAGGGAAGTCTGTTTACTTCAGGTACTTCTCTACCCTCTTGGTCAAAAACATCAAACTTCGCCAGACCCATGCTCTGTGAATGCTGAGGGACAGATCTGGAAGTGAAGCACCATCATTAAGGGGAAGGCCCGATGTGGCCTTATTACAGGTGTCTTGACTGGCAGGCTGGCAGCTGCACTTTAAGTAGCCAGAATTTCAACAAGTATAGGAGCACTTGGCCCCACATGTTTACCTGTCTTGTCAGCAGATGTGCCAATCTCGATGACATTCACAGGGGCAGATGTGGTGGAAGAGGGTAGTGAGGATGTCACAGGTGGCAGGGTGTGGGAAAGATCAATTTGGGGCGTAGGAGAAAAGATTGTTTCGGATTGGGGGGGCATATCAATGGCAGGGCTGGAAGCTATGGATGCTGATGGCTGGGGAGAAGAAAAATAAATCCTTCCTGTCCCAGAGGGAGGGGTCTGGGTGACAGGTGAATGACCCAGAACACTAGTTAAGGAGAAGACACTGGAGATCTGGGAAAGAATGGTGGTCTGAGGAGCAAAGGGGATGGGATTGCTGGAAGAAATTGCTGGGCCGTGTGGATGGTCAAAATCACAGACAACAGGTTCCTGCAGGTCACTAAAGGAAAGAACCAGAGAGATGCATGTGAGACACAAATGAACTGCAGACAGGAGAATTTCCTCCTCTGGCAACTCTCTGATATCACAAAGGTGATGTGGCTCCATCAAAGAGCTGCCACTCCCAGCCTCTGCCACTTTTATACCCTTTGTGCACTGCCACAGCCTCTTGCCCCTGCCCATTTCCCCCACCTCTGAGGGGAGAGGGAGTCCCCAGTTCCGGTTCCCATGTTTACTTCTGCTCTGGGCTGTATGCCTTAGTGCTTATTGCTCAATGGGAGGCTCTTGTGCTCCTGGGGAAGGGAGCTATTAAATGCCCTGTAACACAAGAGGCAGGTTCCATGCACTAGGAACCTTTATTTTTTTTTTCCTTAAAATTTTACAAAACGGGATCTCAAAGAAGTGGCATTGAATACCCAAAGTATTCCAAGCATACTGAATAGTTTTCTAAAACCTCAATACCAACATACTTTCCTTTAATATTCAAATCTACATTGACAAAACTGCCTCATCATTTCTATAACTGATTTGACTTTGAAACTGAAGTGTATCCACTTCAGACTATGTCCATAATAGATTCACCAACTCTTGTGTCAACTCAGTGTTAACGTTGGATTCAAAAGGGTATGGCATAAATTGAAAAGCAGCTGTAGATTTGCCAATAACAAGAAAATGTTCTTCAAATATATGAAAAAGGTTCTACCTTAAAGAGAGTAGCACAAATAAAATAACAGAGATACCATTTCTCATCTACCAGACTGGAAAAACTTAAAAATGTGACAGTACTTTCAGTTGGTGAGGCTGTGGGGATGTCAGAATATTTTCAATGCTCTCCAGGTGATTATAATGTGCAACCAAGATGGGAAACCACTGGTTTTAGGCAGTGGTCCAAGTGGAAGGCTTATGCAACAGAAAACTGTATTTTCTCTAAAATTGAAAGCTCTTCTTCACTGTATAAATTCCAAATTTCCTTATCCAGCTTGGTGATTGAATGCCTTTGCTCTTTGGAAGGAAAAGGGTCAGCACACTTGCTTGCTACATACCACTGCAGTTTTTCTAACTCTTCCGGGGAGGAAGGGCAGGATATCCTGACAGAACAGCAGCACTGTTCTGGAGGAGACAAAAGGAAAAGAAAGAAAGAAAATTCAAGAATAAGGCAAGATAAAAGCTTGGGTCCATCAAGTATTGCTATTCTTACAACAACTGCATTTTACGGAGCATGTGTAAAATAGGTGATACAATTAATGGTATGCTTATTATGTTGACAATTATATATATAAAGTAGGTGCTCAAAATTATTGAGTGAATAATTTGGGGAAGTTGTATGCACAGAATATCAGTTGCTCTTCAGCAATTTTTCCTAAGGAAAATTGAGAAGTATACCCCAGCAGGAACAGATCAAACTCTCCAAACAGAATTCTATCTCTTGATAGGATTTATCATGTTTTCAAATATATACTTTATGAAGCAGGAAAAATCACCTTCTAGATCACCCCCAAAATGGACCAAAAGTCAAAATAGAAGCTCTAACATATGTAAAGTCTTTAATTATATTTTCAGTTTTAAAAAGAGCACGTCAGAGTCATGTGCAAATTAGCAAAGCAAGAAAGATAGAGACAACTTACCCATGGGCTGAATGTGAACTCTTTTCAAAGCAACCATTATGTCACATATGTTCCTGGTCTTAAGCAGTTTTATTGTGAATGTGCAATTTAATGTGCTGCAAAGACAAATACATATCATCACAATGTTACTAAATTGGAAACCTGCCTATAGATTTGACATTGCTTTTGCAAACCTAGAGTAAAGAAAGGGGACACTGACAATGTTAATTTGTGACGTCACTCCAAGAAGCTTGTGAACTCACCTGCCATGGCCTGAACTTTACCCAAAAGTAAAAGAAGTGATTTGGGAAGACACTGATAGAGTTATCCATCCACAGAGGTTGCAAACCAGAGATCCTCTGAGCATACAGCTGCTGGGCCATTTTTGCCTGCCCACGCAGCAAACAGGTGGGGTGGAGCTTAGTTGCAAAGACAAGCATCTGAACATCTAGTCTCACCACCACCAGCTGGCTACTTGCTGGTGACTGTAGGCATTTGAGTTTCCACCATGGGAACCCTTTCACCTGCCAGGCTAGATGAACCTCAAGATCTTGTGAATCTAAAATCTCCTTGGCAACTCAATCTAGAATATCGGATAACTAGAAATTGAAGATATTGCATTTTTTCCCACTTTAGTAATGATTTTGATAAAAAAATATTAGTGTTGCATATTTTGAAAAGAGGCAAGTGAAATCAAGTAAATATGTATAGTGGATCAACTGATATTCTACAATTTCATGGAAGACTTGCCATTTTTCTGTCTCATTGAATAATTTGATGAGTAGGAACTCTCATTTTCTAGAACTTACCAGGGTTTATGTAGCAAGAATCCTGACCTATTTATGCTATGCAGCCAGGAGAGCCAACACACACTATTTAAAATGATAATCTGTGTCATCTCAAATAATTGTCAGGCAATTTCTGATTTATTCTGTATGCACTTTAAATGAGCATTTCTTTTCTCTTTCTAATATTTCTTCTCCTTTTCCTCCCTTTCTTCTCCCAAGCTCCATCATTATGTTCCTACTTCTCTGGTCTTGACCTTCACCCTGACTGAACCACTGCGAGCCATACCCATTGGGATTAAATCCCCTGGTGATCCTTAGAATCACTGAATAGAGGCAAACAGCCCCACACCCCTGCTCCCTTTTGTGCTTCATAAAGAAATGAGGACATGGATGTGACAGAGTAATGAGTATTTGGAAAACACACATTTTTTATAGATAGATAAATAGATATAAGTATCTCCTAATCTCCAAAATGAAAGAAATACATTATTATATATTTATTTTACAGGAATGCATTTGAATTTACAACCTCATTATTTATTTCTTATAAGTAGAAAAATAATGATATTTATAAAAATATTAAAATAACTGACCTTTGAGTATCTTTTGTAACACACATTATAAAATAAGTCTGAAACAAAAAGAAAATGTTACTTTGACAGCTGAAAATGTCAGATAAGACACGCTACAATTAAACACAGCATTACAGAATCTTAGGGGTCATCCGTTTCACATCCCTACCAGATTCCCGATGGATTATCAAAGTTACTCAGGCCATCCAAGCTCTGCGTGATAGCTCCAATGTTGGGGAACTCACAGCCACACTAAGGAGTGCGTTCTCCTACAGTGCTTGTTTTAAGAAAGTTTTGATTTTACATGAAGGAAAAACTACTTCTTTGTGATGGCCCTCCATTGTGCCTTGTGCTGACTTTTGGAGTAATGGAACAATGGAACTAGTCCATTATCTCTTTTGCATTACATATTGGGGGCGGGGAGGGGGGGATGCTGAATACATATCTTCTCAGGAATGCAGTACTCTGTGCTTTACTCCAAATAAGAGTTATAAAAAGGGTCAGGCTGTACTATGATTACCTCACTCAGGTTTTGCAGGGTTTTGTTGAGCTCTGATCTCCTGTTAATAAAATGAGAGGACCATTAGTTATGTTAAATTCAGAGCAAGCGAGATTTTTTTAGCAATTAAATGAAGCTTATGATATTTATTGCTTGCAGTGTTCACATTGAAGAAAGAGGATATATGTGTTTAGACTCCTATGTGGGGAAAATTAATTATATATATGACAAGAGAAAACTAACCAGACAGAAGCTGATCAGTTCTAGCAACAGCAATATATAAATCATGGTTCAACAATTTTGTTGTTCACTTAGCCACTGCAACTTCCAGGCAGCCTCCTCTGGCAGAGAGCCAGAGGAAGGGTTAGCTCAAAGCCAAATTTCACAGAGGGTTCATTCACTCTGGGGCCCTGTACCTCTGATTTCTTCCTCATTGCTTCTCCAACTGACCCAACCAGCCTGCCTTCCCCTCCTCACTACACCGCTTTAGAAATTCCCCTCATCCCATCCCATTCTAACAATTTTTATTTCCTCAATGTGGCAGAGCCTCATATGAAGTTAGGTTGAAAAGAGTCTAGCTAAAGAATTCATTCTAAGGCAGTGGTTCTCAACCAGGCAAGGCTTTGCCCTCCCAGGGGACATCTGGTGCTCTGGATTGTCACTTAGCAGTGAGATGCTACTGGCATCGAGGGGCGGAGGCCTCAGCTCTATGACACATCCCACCGTGCACAGACAGCACCGCATAACAGAACTGCGGGGCCCCAAACGGCAGCACTGCTGGCCTTGAGAAGCCCTGGTGCAGGGAATGTGGCACCTGCGTGGGCAGAGAAGGAAGAGAAGGGTGGTGGCAGAAGTAGGTGGCTCGCATTTCCAACCACCTTCATCACTGTGTATGTCCTGTGCACAGAAGCCTTCTTTCTGGGGTTTTCCCTGGCTTCTCCTCACAGGTCTAAGCACTCCCCTGCTTGGATATTCAGACACAGAACATCCTTTGGTACAGTGTACATGTCGCCTTCACTGTAGGTGCTATACAGTATTGTTATCAGTTCTTTGCTTTCTGCATCTTTCCTACCAGATTTTACACTCTGGTTCTTGAGATTGGTCTCATACTGGAACCAACTGGGGTGCATTCAGAAATACCGGTGCCTGTGCCCAGTCCCTAAATACTAATGTGGCTACTGTGAAGTGTGTCTGGGCATCAGGATTTTCAGACGATCCCCAGGTGGTTTTAATACGCAGCCAAGCTGGAGAACCCTGCTCTAGAACCAGTTTTCCATTTCATGTATGCCAGTGTGTCCCTATGTATGCCAATGCCTGGCACATAATAGGTTCTCAACAAGGGCATGGTCGCATTAAATTAATTCATCTCTATTTCAAATCTAGTAATTACACTGAATTACTTACAAGTGTGCTAAGTTGTGTTGGATTTATAAATTTGTGAATTAGCAAAAATGCTTCTTATCACTGTTATTGCCCATCTAAAGTATAAAGGCCTTCTGGGACATGGATATCTTCTGATTTTTATTTCAATACATACCCTGAATAGTTAGAAAAAGTAGATTTTCATCAGAAGGTCAACAAACAGATATAAAGGACATGAACAACAGCTAGTACTCGCCTCAGCCCCCTTTCAGTCCCAGAGCTCACTAGTTTAACTTTTTGCCACTTATAAACTCAGTGAAGCCGTAGAGATGTTTGATATCCACCAGGTGGAACCCTTCTCTACCTAGGCATTATTGAATCACCACAAGCAGCCAAGTCAAAATGTTTCATCTAAAAGGAGAGTTTTTTTTAAATTATTATTATTATTTTTTTTTACCATAGGGAAGATTTTTCTCTTCAGTGTCATCAGATACTTCTTGTGCTTTTGTATTTGGTTCACAAGTTTACCAAAACTTTATTTGAGGGTTAGTAGGAGGGCTGAGAGTAGGTTAAGCTCATCTCATGCTGCTCTCATGCCAAGAGGGCAAAGGCATGAAGTCTCCTCTCCCAGTGACAGGGTAAGACTGACTTCTGCTCTAGTTCAACCTGCTGGCTGCTGTTTTGACCTGTTGTCTAAGTAGAGGCATCAATATTTCTAATGCCTTTCTCATTGTCTGACAGTGGCCTTGTAAGCTAAGGTCCCTTAACCTCTCTGACTTTTGAATCACTGATGCTTCATGAAAGCAAGAAAACACAGTAGACACGGAAGCCTCTCCTGAATTATTCTTTCAGCCCTGATGCCTACCAGGTCATATTTAACTTCCAACACCAACTGAAATGGAGCTTTTAATTTCATTTCATCAAAGAGTACAGCCTCAAAGGACTTTAGTTCATGACAAAAATACCCCAACGCGTATCTTTCCAAAGATTTAAGTCAAATAGTAGATTACTCACTTCAGTTCACTTGGAGACTGGACTCCAGTTTTGTCATTAACCTTATTTTGACTCTGTTAAAAGCACAAAGTTGTTAGGAATACAGCAAATCATGTTTTGTTCTCTGACATTCTCTAACAAGAAATTGCTGTTCAGTTTTGTTGGCTACCCGAAGAATTACATCTCCCAAACTACGCATCCTAACTGTATGAAATATTCTCCAGCAAATGATAAAATCCATACGACTAAGCCAGCTTTTGATTTTTTGTTTTTCTTTGAAAAACATTCTGACCAACATGTCTGATGTGCTCATTTCTGCCTTTTGTCATTCCAAGGGTTCCTCCAAAATAACTAGTGAAGTTTTCGCCTCTGAAGGTCCCCTATTTAAGTAACAGACTCTAATGTAAAAAGGTGAACTTGCGGCAGCCATCACTGCATTGCTGCCACACGCTCACCGTCTGGGTGTGCATAGGAGGTGCCTGGGAAATAGTCACTGAAGGGGCAAACCACATTTACCTGGATCCTCTGGACTAATCTAGATTATGGGAAGGCTCACATTACTATAACCAGATCCCAAATCCCCTACGGGATGAACACGATCAATTTCAGAGACTGTTCTTATAGTCAACATGTTACGTATTGCTTCTAGTATAATTTTAAACCTTAGCTGGTAATAGAGTTGTATCAGATTATTCTTATTCAGCAACAAACCTAGTGAAAACTAACATAATTACTAATGGAATACCACAGTTATTATGAAACCAAGCCCTCCTGGCACAGCCAGGGATTCAACACCACATAGTCTATTTAAATTTGGTTATAAAGTTAAATAAGCCAAATATCACAAGTAATCTGAATCTTAAAGTTTTCAATACATAAATTTGCTTTTTAAGACTGCAATAAGAAAACTTTAAAACATACCTGAGTAACGTTGCTTCCTTCATCAGACTGAAGTACTATCTCACCTCTAAAAAATGCTGAAAATAAATTTTGAAAAACAAATTAGAGACTTGTGTCCTTAGGGGTTGAGAGTTAATACAACACAGTAAAAGAACATCAAATTACTGTTTCTTCAAATTCTTTGCTTTTAGTCACGTTTACTTAATGAATATCAATATAATTTTCAGGAAATATGAGCTACATATTTTACAAGGGAATTCAGAAAGAGAAAAATTGTCTCTTTATCAAAACATTGCATCTCTACATGTTTCTTATAAAAGTCTTGTTTGTCTTTAAGATGCTAACTAGTGAATAGATATTTTTAAGTTGCTAAGTTGTGTTTACACAATCAGGGAGAGAAGGAAAAGGTGTTTCTCAGAGGTTAACTGTCTTTTGGAAGTCCATTTATTCCTTGATGGGTTATTTCTATTTTTCTTTAAAAATACAGCTACCAAATGCAATCTCTTTCTTAAAGTTGAGATTTGACTTTGAGATTTGAATAGTGAGCATTCAGGGGAAATTCTTCATTTGAACTACTCACTGTAGCTTTCATTCCAGAGATATCAGGAAAACCTTTTCTTAAAATGCTTACTTTCAGAAATACTGAATTCAGTTCAGTTATCCTATTTCCTGCAGGGTACACACACAGAGGGGCTGTGCTTTTAGGGAAACGAAACAGAGACTCCTGCTCAGAAGTACATTGTGTGCACTTTATAGTGTGTAGAGACCAAAAACCTGATCTCTTGAGCACAAGCACAAGGATGTCATAGAAATTACTGCAGGGGCCACTTGCTTTGTGAAAGATCAGACATCAGGTATTTGAGTTTTTGAAGGACGTATATTTATGTTGAAAATATTCAACTTAGGTTGTAGTGCAAAAGCAGCCATAGACAATACGTAAATGAATGGCATGGCTATGTTCCAATAAAACTTTATCTACAAAAACTGTACTTGAACTAAAGCAGTAGTTTGCCAACCCCTGAGCTAGAAGTTGATGGCTTCCACATCTCATCTTCTCATACTTTACTCAGAAGTACAAGTGATTCACATAGCCAAGCAACCAACAGTCCACTTCTACTTAAAAGTGACCAACATGACTACTAGACCAATGACTAACATGATCTATTTCAACTTTCCTACTAAAAACTCAGCTTCTGCATACTGATAATGAAGTTTCCATTAATAAAGTACATAATTAAAGCCAGGAGGAAAAAGAAAAATATCAGATGATTTCATCTGTAGGAGGAATATAGGAGAACCAAATAAGAGATCAGGAAAAAAAAATAACAATAATAATAAATAAAAAGAAAAACAAAATTAGCAGGCAACCATAAGTCAGAGACATTCTGAGAGGGAAGGGGAAGAAAAGGGATCAAAACATGGGAGAAGCGCACAAGAGATTATGGTGATAGTTCACAGGTGAATTGGTGGTGGGAATTTACAGGGACAACACCCGAGAGGAGAACGCATACAAGCATACATTATACAAAAATGAACAATGACATAAAATATATAAATAAAAATATATTACCTAGAAAATAAAGTATATAATTATTGAAAGTAAAGATATTCGATATATATATATGTAGTTCATTTTTTGAAAAAAATCTTAATTTTGAACTTATTTAAGAGATACTCAGTCTACTAGGTCCTCCCATGTGTACAGGAGGTACACATAGTATTATTAAACTTCATTCTGGGTTGTTCTCTTGTCAATCTGTCTGATGCCTGTTTGATTATTTCCCAGCCCAGAAGAAGCAGAGGGGAGAGGATGACTTCCTTTGCACCCTGAAAACTTGGCAAGTCAGCCCGGAGACCTATCAAAAGACTGAATGCTGCTCGTTTCCTAGGACGTCTGCAGATGTCAGTGATCTAGATCTGAACAAGCAAGGTAAATTTTTACTGTATCAGACTACTGGCCTTTCTATGGCTTGCTTACTCACTTGCTCTCCAAAAATCTAATGGAAACCCAGTGAAAAATATTTTTATTTCTTGCTCTAAGATTGGTTTAAAATACATATATATATGGGTGAAGCTATCTTCTTGAATATTTTGTGATTCTTTTGGTTTAAGAACTTTGTTCTTAATTTTGGTTGACCCATTGGTTTTTATTTTCATTTGATGTTGTTGATTCTCATTCAAAAGAACTTTCTTTTCCTGTCTCTTCTTTTGGTGCCTCAATTGAGATTTTGTTTTCAGAAATTTTCTTTCCTAAATCTTTTCTGAGAAGTTACATCTGGCTGTGTTTGACTCTTGGATTTTTATAACTGGTCTCTGGATGCATGGCCCTGAGTGCATCAGAAGGCAGAAAAATAGGCTATGGATCTGAGCTTTGAATGGGGCTTTTTGCATGATTTCCTCATCACCAGTTTGTCTCCTGTGTGGTTTAAAATTTCCAACTGAAGGTAACAGGTTCTTTTTTGAATTCAAGTTAATGTTCTGTTCTGTTTCATGGGTAGGAAATTCAGAATCCAGGTTTCTGCTGCCCTTCCCTCTTACTTCCCCCACACCCGTGATGGTCTTGAGATTATGGTAAAGGCATTTCTGCCTCTAGGTTGTCTTCAGTGTTGTTGTTAAGAGGAAAAAAATCTTAATGTGCATTATGATAAAAAACTATTACTAAGAAAATCCTGGAAGCCAAAGAGAAAAAAATGAAAGTGGCAACCATGGTGGGCATGGGTCACCCCCAGCAAGTCCTCCTGGGTTATAGTTCTGGCTCCAAAAGAGCCAAAGGCATCGTGGAAAGCTGTTAATATGTATCACGTCTTTCCTTTTGTCATGTCTCATACTGGTTTGAATCTTGGGCTAAGCCATAACCCCAGTTCTGTATGTATAAATAAATAAATAAATCTTTTTTTAAAAGCCATATAAAAGTATCTTGGCTAACCTCAGGGAATTTTTTTTTTTTAAGTAAGTTAAAGTATAGAAATCAGACTTAAAGTTATGTCTTCGTAGAATTTTGCTTTGTATAATTCTCGCTGGGCTAATAATACCAAAGATGCCCTTAAGGTTACATTGGCCACTAGGGAAATTTTTTAAGCTTCCAAAACTGTGCACCAAATTGGAAGCCATGAATTTAAAGGAAAGAAGTTTAAATGAGCTAATTAGGGTCAATAAATAGCAAAATGTGAGATAAAAAAAAACAAACCTCACTTTCTTGTTCTCTTCCTTATGCGCTAACACCAACCATCCTATCTATCTTTTATATTCTTTGTCAGAAAGAAAATTATAAAATTGGATGACACTTTCTTTCCACTTTTGTCACTTCAAGAACTGGGCTAGGTCTTCAATGAAGACAAGGGTCCATTTAAACTCAGGTCTAGACCAGCCCTCGGGGGATATCTAAGTCTCTTTTGTTATCCTTAAAATGCTTCTAGTTTTGGGACCCTTAAGATTTTAATTATAGTTAAATGGGACATTTATGCTGAAGCATAAAATCTTAATTTCCATCTTATATAAAAAATGTTCTTACTACAAAACTATCTTAAAATTTTATAGTTAAATGGATATATCAACCTTTTAATATCATAGAAGTTAAAACTTAAATTCTTTAAGGAATTAGATTAATAAGATAGGACCTTTACAGAACCAAAACTATGGTTCCATAACAATTCAAAGCCCACCTACCTAAAACCTCTGTAAGTATTTAAAAAGGGTATCAGGTCTTAGAAAGCTCAAGTCAATCTCTATAATGCTAATTTTCCCTTCCCCCACCACTTTTTAGAGCCAAAGAACCATTCTTTAAAATGCAAATTGAGCTGCTTAACTTAAAAAAAGTGGGGAAAGGAAAAAACTTTAAAAATTATTAATACAAATTCTCATGTATTCATAAAAATTATAAAAATAAAAACTAGTTTAGTGCATGCCTGCATTGTGTTTGCGCACCTTCGTGCATGCCGACATCCACAATTTCTGTCCCTATCTCCTCCATTCTCAGAGTTCAGCCTTCAGTCCTGCTGAGTGCATCTTGAGTTTCAGAAGTGGGGTAGGAACACAGTGGTGGCGAAACCACTAGGAAACCACTACCTTTTGACCCTCAACCTAAACCACCTGGTCATCTCCCAATTTCTTCACTAGCCTCCATTTCCTTTAATGAACTCACATTGGAACCTGGGGAAGTGAAGGTTTCTAGTTTCTGGCGGGATACCAGGGAATTTCTGGTGCCAAAAGAGTTGGTTGTCTGATGAGGTTGTTTTCACCAGACACTAAAACAAATGGTCAATTCAGCCACTAAATTAGGGAAAACATTACTCCAACAGCTTCCTGGCATCTGTTATTCAAGATGACCAGGTTTTTTGACTGAATGTTCAATTTTCAAACAGTTATCAAACGTCATGTAGACACAACACCACACTAGACATTAGTCACCGGCTCAAAACATGGACCAAGTGCACAAATCACATGATAGAGAGATCAATAGAGAAGAGCTCTACAATATAGATAGTAAAATGCAGCCAAAATTTAAACATGACTAGCCAGCGTGTCCTACCTGGTGATAACGTGAGCAGAAAGTTCACACAAGCAATTTCACATTCACACAAACAGAAAGTGTTTGTGGAATGTTCTTTCAACAGAAAGTTGTTTAAACTATCCAACTCTAACTTAGTTTATTTGAAATTGTTTCTCATGTTTTTCAAATAAATTATTAACCTGTTCAAAGAAACAGAATAAATGGAAAACATTCCTATAACAATTTATTTTTTAATATTACAGGAGTCATACTAAGACTTTAATATTATAAACTACCTGGTTACCTTCCTATTTTTTCCTCGCATGATCTCTTGTCCAGTTCTGACCTGACACACCATGTTTTTCTGTTTTTCACTTCTGTCTTCATTGATTTTAACAAGGAAGGGAACCCAGAGAGCCAAAGCAGGAGAGAAAAGTGGTTGTTTCATTCCTTCTGGCCCATGGTAGGAGGGAAAATATTCCCATCTCAAAAATAGCATGTTCTTAAGAGATTTCCATCTCAATTTTTAAAAATGTGGGCAGTTAGTGATGGCAAAATACACTACAGAACTCTGGAATTAGTCTCCAACTAAACTAGGTGTACGTGAAGTTTCCACCATTTTAGTGGAGTGGTTTGTTTAATTTTTAGCAAAAGACAACATCGGGTTTTTAAGCTATTATACTTAAATTCCTGTGCAAAAGCTTGAGGGATTTATATACAAGAAGTGAATTTCAATAAATATTAAGTTCATTCTTAATTATGTCCACAAAGTACCTCTAAGGGTATTAGTTATGGATTAAAAGCTGTGGTGAAACGTTTGGTGCACAGCTTCATGTTCTCATATTAAGGAAGTTAATCCATCAGCTCACTAGGTGGAGAATAATTCAGTTAGATCTCAAATTTGGTTTTGTTTTCATTCAGGATGCTGGTAGCCAGGTAGTATAAAGAGATAGATCAGAGAGGCACATACTCAACAAAAGCAAAAACAAACCCTTTCCCTCTGTGGAGCTAATTGATTTAGTAATGTGTAATATACACAAGAACTAACCTGAGTCATTGCAAATAGATGACAAATTGCAGATACTTTGGGATTTGATTACTGCAGAGAAAACACAACACAACAGGTTAAGCATGTCAGTATCTGTATTTACATACTACATTGTCAAGAGAATTCACAAATCTTGGCATTAAACTGGACCAAAAATATTATAAGTTGCATATAATTGGCTGGATGAATTCCAAAAATTAAAGGAACTAAAGTGTTTCCATCTGTTAGTGGGTCAGCTATGGAACTTGACTTTTTACTATTCTTCAGTCTGTCAGTCTGATCCGCATCTCCTTCCTAACATTTCTTTGTCCCCTTCCCAATGGATCCCTCTCCTGTTCAATGTAAACAGAACAGCAAGAATACAAACTGAGTAAAGAAAACTTAAATAAATAACCCTTTCTTACAGATCCTCCTTTTTCTGAGTAGTGGAGTCCACAAACACTCAACGCTGGTCCTATTTCCTAATGCAAATGTATGCAAGAAATAACATTATTGTCATGCTCTCATTTTTTATGGGCAAAAACTACAAAAACTATTTGCTTAGTGCCAACCATAGTCCATAGGCTTTGGGAGGTTCCAGGTACAGACCTTGCCCTCAATGAGCTTACAATCTAGTGATTAATACTGACCAATAAATTAAACAGTAAAGTGAGGGCAAAGTGGAGTGAGGGCCAAGACAACAGACCACAGAGGCATACAAAGGAGGTAGAGATGAATGGGAGGTGAAACAAGTCATGTAGATTAAAAGATTCTTACATGTTAACCTGAGAAACACTTTCTCCTTTGGTGAAAGGAGAAGCACATCTCTTCTTTAGTTTGAAAAGAGCTCAAAGTTTACTCCTCGAAGAACCTTCCCTTCATTAATTGCATTCTTTTAGTGATGCATAAGCAATCTAAAGGAAATGCTGACAATGTATTAAGCAAACTTCCAACAGGAAAGCTACTGTTATATTAAGGGATACTTTGATCTCCTTGTTAAGGCTGGTTTCGTCAGAATTATGTAATGCAATGTCTGCTTGCACATCTGATTCCATTGTGCTTTATGAGTGCTTATTTCTTCCCCAGTGAACTAGTTTGGACACAAACTAAAATTGTAATTTGAGTTAGTGCATGTTATCATTTCTGTAAAAATGATTTAATTGATGAGGATGTGTAGGCACCGTGCTTCAGCTAGGAGTTTTGATTCTGTGAGCAAACTGGTGCAAAAAGTTACCTGATATGTATATTATAGACTATATAGAGGGCAATGCTTTAAATGCTATTTACAGTCATTAATGCATTACTCACTAAGTTTTTTATTTTATCACCTCTCATCTTTCTCTAAAGTGAGAAAGATGAGAGATGATAAAATATTGACACCTCCATTTCCAGTGATGTTTGTCTTTTAACTGCTCCTTCATACTGAGAATTTCTGTTCCTAGGGCTGTTATCTGTAATTACCTCACATACATGGCCACAAATAATCCTTTTTAATCATGAGTGAGAAAACTTTGAACTTTGGACAGGCCAACTAGGAAATATTTTAGGCTTTGTGGGACATGTCGTTTCTGCTGCAACACTCAACTAATTGTTGCACTGGAAAAGTAGCCATAGACAGTATGTAAACAAATGGGCATGGCAGTGCTCCAATAAAGCTGCAGTTACAAAAACAGCTACTAGGCCACTTCTGGCCCGCAGGCCAGTTCACCACCCTGGAAGGCCTTGTTAAGCTGGCATGTGACCCTAGTCTTGCATTGGGAACTCAAAAGCACATCTCATTTTACACTGAAAAAGTTTGAAGTTCACTCCTCTAAGAATCTGTCCTTCCATAATCGTAGCCTGTCCATAAACCTATCAACACCAGACCTTTCCTCTCCCAGCCTCTTAAGCACATCAGAATCTTTTGTGTAATTGTTGCCTTTATCTGCATACCTGTTCATGTTAGCTATCTGCTTGTGTATCTTGTACCCTGTAGACTAGAGGATTCTTGTGGGTAGGCATTTTGTCTGAGCCTTTTTACAGAGCCCCCAACACTTAGTACAACTTTAAGTACCCAGTGCATAAACATCTATTCATTAAGAACAGATTTTATTTTTAAAAGGTAGAACAGAGAGAGAAAACATAAACACCAGCCATTTGCTTAACTTTAGTTATAAAAAAAGAAAATCTTGATATTGATAATAAGTCATACCTGATGCATTGAAGGTTTTTACTATAGTGATTTTAGTTTTTTCTGCAAAGAAGCAATTTAAATATTAGAGCAGAATTGTCGCTTGTTTTTAATAAACAATTTGCCACAAGTATCATTTTAGTGAAGTGCAAGAAAAATCATACTGTTGACACCTTTAAGACACTGTTGGTCATCTCAGCAACAGAATAAATGGGAATCTCATAAGCTTATGAAATAACACTGGGCTTGGGTGGGCCTGGGAGTTGGATTCCCGTGTTTACCCAGTTAGACCACAAGCATCAGAGATCCTACTGCTTGTGAAATTCTACTTCAATTTCCATATGCTGTTGCTCATCAAATGAATGTGGATTTATGCTTCAGATACATAGAATTAAGTCACCACCAGGACCTTCAGGTTGTAAAGAACAGATGATTCTGAATAAAAAGTAATGGATACAGTAATCTAAAATATGATTTAAAATCTAAAATATGATTCCTCTGCAATCAAAAAAGTGTCCTGTAATTGTCTTTAGGAATCAATATAGCATTATTCCTATTATACTGAGAAATAAAACTATTCTCAGAGAGGTTGAGACTATCAAAGTACAGTCATACAACAAGTTCACAGAACCAGGACAGAGCTGTTCTATCAATGACTTGCAGGCAACTATTAACACACTCTGAAGATGCAGCCTTAGAAATATATTCCCAACACACTTTGGGGGCAGAGACCATGGTTCATTTCTCAGATAATGGAGAATTGGGTTCAGAAATCATTGCTATAAGGATGGCAAATTAGAAGAGGCTGTGTTCAGGGCACAGATTTTCCAAGTCTTGTCTCCTTGTAAAGAAGTCTTGTCTTCTGGAGGAAACATAAAGCTTATATATATATTGGAGGAAAAACTAAAGAATGATGACATCATACTAACAAGTGTCCATTGTATATATTATATATGAGTTTCTGTTTCAACATATGACTGATCCATGGACACTGGTGGTAATTACAGAGGCTGACAGTATTTTGCATTATTGTTAAGAATCCTTTATGTATTGTTTGCCCTGACACTTTCCATTCCAGAGCAAACAAAACACAACTGTGAAATGAACTGATTCTAGTAACAAAAGAGCTTTCAGGGGAAAATGTTCAACATCACCAATAATCAAGAATGCAAAATAGAACCTAAGGAATTAAAAGATTTCATAATATATTATGTAGCTCCAGCTTTCAACAAAGTACAATGGCAGACATTCTCATCTACCCTAGCAGGAATGTTGCTGGGTACAACTTTTCTAGAAGATAACTTGCAAGTAGGTATCAAGGACCTTAACATATTCATAATGCTGTCCTACTAAGTCCAGTTATTCAAGTGCATCCTGTAGAAATCAGGATGAATGTAAAGATATTGGCATAAGAATATTCTCTGCATCAATTCCTATTAGAAAAGTAGAAACAGCTTTAATGTTCAATATGTGGTATAAATAGAATATTATGTCAGTAATAGTAAGAGACACTGAAAATATTTATAATTTAATATGAAGTGAAAGGCTGTTTTATATATACATGTTATATATATGATATATATGATATTGATTGGAAATATGCCACTTTATTAACAGTAATAGTCTTAGAGAAGTAACTTTAAAGATGATTTTTATTTTCTTCTTTGTGAGTTTTTTACTTTTTTTGAGTTAATATATATATTACTATTACAATACAAATAATATTATTTTAAATAATATTATTTTAATATGTGCTATGAACATACATGTTGGAATTTCAAGAGTGTAGTGACACCAGAATAATAGTTCAATGTCAAAGTAAAATGGGTAATAAATCAACAGAGGCACAGGAAACAGACAAGGAGATAACCTTTCCTAGCCCAGTAGACAAAACAAGTGAGAACCCCAAGAAGCGAAGAAGACAAATAATGATATGTAGAAATAATTTAATATTACCTGTTTTGTTTAAAGTAGATAATACACTAGAAGTAGCATCTGAAATAAAATAACAAATATTAGCCGCCTATTGGCATGGTTACACAAATATGCCAGTCTTCCTATGTTCCTTCAATATCTCAATTTTCCCAAAATCCTAGAGAAGGTAAGAGAATTTTGCAAAGTCCAGCTGACGCTGGCATAGACACTGTGCACCCCTCACTTCTGTATTCTCCAACTGTGAACAAGTATTTATTCATTCAAAATGTTTTTCCTGAACACAAGACAGGAAAGATTTAAGTACATTATATAACCACAACTTATGTGTTTAAAAAACAGCAACACTCCTATAGTTATTAGATTTAAATAAAGTCACCTATGTTGTATAATATTTTCTCCTTTTTTTACTATTATAATGATAGTACCTTAGTGATATGCTATTTCCACAGTTAATACCAGCTTTTATAGTCCTGTGGAAACTTAATACAGTTTTACCAAGTGGTATACTCTTACAAAACAATCTTTAAGAAATTCTAATTTAAATTTGGAGTTCTTGAACATTATATTCAAGTAACTTTTAGGAAAATAAGAGTTCAGTTTAAAATACTTCTTTAAGCAAAGATCATTTTTTAATTTATTATTCTGGATGAGATTTTAGATATAAAAAAGGACCTGTATTACATTATCACACTTAACAAAACAAAACAAAACAAAATATAAAATGGTATCCAAAAACTACTTGCCAAAACTATTTTGAAAATATTCTTTCATTATAAAAAGTAATTGCACATAAGAATGATAATGTTTGGCCCTTCCCATTGGAACAAATACGAATTTAAACTAGCTTTGATCATGTGAACTGCCTCATCAACTTAAGTTGCTGCCTTAGCAACTTAACCACCAACCAACCGCACGGTGAGATTTTATTTTAGCAGAGGGATTGTGAAGTGCTGGTTCTGACTATAACAAGCTGGAAGGCTTCTACCCAGAGGGGAGGGCTGCAGAGCTGGCTACAGAGGGGAGCGGACAGAGTGTGTTCTGCCTGCCTCCCTGAGTATAGCCCAGTTCTTTGCCCTTTTCCCTAGCATGATGAAGAAGCAGCTTCTTTTTCACTTCATACTATTTAGAAATTGACAAATCATCAGTAAAAAGGTGGCACTTGAACACTATGTGCCTGCAAGTCCATGTCAGATCACATTAAAATCACTGGATGTGCTTTTCACATTAAACAATATGTCATTTAAATTGTATTGGCATTGAGTTAGAGAACAAGGTAACAAGATGCCTAAAATGTGACTGGTAATTCTTTTCTTTCACAGAAACCAGGTACAGTGGTAGAGGGTTATCTTTTTTCGTGACAATTAGAATTTTGTCATTTAATCAGCGAGCTTAACTCACTCTCTAGGGTGGGCAGTTTTGTGTGTGGGGGGGTGGCTTTTTGTGTGATGGCTTTTTTTTGGGTTTTGGTTACTCAAATATAGAAACGTTCAACTCAATTCATTATCCTCGTGTTCATATTCAGGGTTAGCAATTTTCACTTGCTTCAGGAAAATCCTTACCATTGAGGCTTGTTGTTTCAACCTCTTTTGTCCCGAGGGAAAAAACAATACAAAGGTACAGTGTAATTAAATCAAAAACTTAACAAATTGAACTAAATCTAGGTTTAAAGTTTTTCAAAATCTTGCCTGGAGTACCATTGGAGTTGGGGACAAAACCAACAAAAGATGATGATTCAGCTGTAGGAGGGAAAAAAAATTTCAGGTTAATTCTTTCAAACATTTTTTTTTTTTTTATGTTTTAAGGAAGGAGTTAGAACTTTTGAGATACAATTATGAGAGTAGTAGAGAACGTGCTGTCATACCAATTTAAAGTTAAATCTGCAGCTCTCAGATTCATCCAGTGAGTATAACTTAGCTGGAGAATTGTAGGGAGAGAACCCAGGAGTGCCACTATCTCATTTTACAGATGAAGAACCTGAGGGTCATGAGAACAAAGCCCGTTCCCGCCTATGGAATATTACAGAGATAAGTTTTGGAACTATGCCAACAAGTGAGATCTATTGTTTTCAAAATTTTTCAGCCAGAGAGTTCTGCAAAGCATTTTATACTTTAAATAATTTGTCGAACCACAATTATGAAACATATTGGCATGAGTTTCAGTCTGCTATAATAATACCTAGTGGACCTTCCCATGGTGAATTTAAGATTTAGAAAAAAACTAAAAACAGTGCCACCATTCAATTCTGTACTACCTAACATAATTTCCTGTAAGTGAATTTAAAATATGGTTGCTATGAAGACAAACTATAGATTTCCCTTGGAAAAACTCCACTTATACTCAGGTCAACTATGCACATTTTGCATGTTTAAACATTAAAAAGATCCAATGGCTTAACCTCCACATAAACAGAGGAAAAGTAAACACAAACATTTTACAACCAAAACAAGTTGTGCAGTAGGGGCCTGGTATTCGCTCTGTAAGGACATTTGGGTGTGGCAAAGCGCTTGGCTGGCCTGTGCGTTTAAACTGCTCATGTGTTGGCTGACACACACACACCCAGTCTGTCCTACATTATTGCTTCCACACTTTGTCATTCACTACATTTCCGTTTTTTAATTACCAAGGATATTTCTTGAGAAGATAGTACCTGAGCACTAAGATTCAATGCATCGCTATGGAATCCTTTGCTCATGGGGCAAAGCAAACTGGTCAAAGCTGGTTTTTAGTTAATGACCCTGAATTCTTCTCAATGTTAATGAATCGTAACCATTGAAACAAGAAGCCAGTGGGCACAGCAGCCTATCTGTCCCTGGAAGTACATGTGCTCTTGCCTTCCGGTTAACACAGCTACCCCACCACCCAGCACACCCATAACTGAACTAGTGTGCCCCCAGAACCCATTTCCCATTCCATGCAAACAAAATTTTGCAAAAAAATAAAACAACACAATTAAGTCTGGTGGAAACTGCTATACCAGGAGAAAAACACAGTGCTTCATTTTACCCTAGAAGCTTAGCAACTGGGGTGGAGGGCAAAGTGAAACAGTAGAAAGAGCTTGGGCTTTGGAGACTGTAGTCCTGGGTTGACTGTGCCCCATTCCTTACTATTCCTTACTAACTCATAACAGCTATAGTTAATATTCATTGAAAGTTTTCAGAAACTTTCAGATTTATGTGTTGTTTTATTTCATATTCATCATTACTCTATGAAGCAAGTACTATTATTCTCCCCAATTTACAGATGAAGAAACTGAGGCATACAGAAGTGAAAGAACTTGTTCAACCACATAGCTAGCAATGGGGTGGCACTGTGGTGGCCACGTTCAAGTCCAACTAGTCTAGCTCCAGAGACTAGATCAACATGATCAAGGGCTTCTTACTCTCTCTGACCGTCAGTTTCCTCATCTATAACATGAATAGCTGATTCCTGTGCTGCAACACTGGGAGAAGAAGGAGGTGTCTGTGGACTCCAAGCATGAGGCATGTAGTATGCACACAAGAAGCAATGGCTATTATCATACATTTTATTTAAGTGAACTAATTAATAACAGTAGCTCATTTTCATAAAATTTAAGGCAAACAGTTGACTCACTGCTTACCATAAAAGACTGTTCTGGAACAGAGTATACCAGAAAGAATACAGAAGTAGGAGTCAGAGAAGCCACATGTTGTTTCTGTGCAATGTAGGGCAAGAAGCTGGTGGCCTGAGATAAGTTTCTCAGTTGCTCCAGTCTTCACTGCCTCATCAACTCAGAGATGGGCGTGAGCCACTTTATCCCTGGGATCCTGTGCCAGCTAGCAGTCTCAAGCACAGCTCTCCTCCTGGTTCCTGCCCAGAAAGCACCTAGTTCTAAATTTCTCTTTATTTGCCTTCTCATTGCCACAAGTGCTAAACCCTTAGAAGTATTTTGAAAACTTTTCTTCTGGTGGGGTAATGAGCAAGAATATTTAAGAGAACATCTCATTCTTCAAATATAAGAACATTCCACATGTTTACCTTCCTTGATACTCTTCAATAGACTTGTGAATTACAATACTAAGAATAATGCTGGAGAACTTTAACACTTACTGTATAATAAAAACCCACAATTTATTCCCTGGCTTTGGCCAACAATGGGGGGGGGGGTGGATCACTGTGCCTGTCCTCTTGTCTGTCTGCTATTGATTGTTCAGGTGTAGATTAAATAACAACTGAATAACAATTTCAGGTGTAGATTGAATAAGCTTCATGAAAGAAAACAGTTTTGTTTATTTGACTACCTGTCATATTTAGCATGACATGCATATATTACAGAACTTTTAGAATGTTTTCCAGATATTCCCCAAAGTCATGAAATAACAATCTTACCAGATGGTGGTAAAACACTGGAATTATCAGCATTCTCTGTTGAAGAAAAAAGGTGTTTTAAATTAGTTTAGTTTCTTCAAGAATTCGTAGATTAGCATCTTTATTGGGAGAGAATGTAAGATCCATTGCAAATAGCTACCAAGAGAGGGCAGTATGCTAATCTATGATTTCCAGCAGCCTTCTTAGTACTTCACAATTCTCTACAAAGACCTCTCTGGTGAAGTAATTAGTTTGTAGCTGTTGATGGTGCGCTATATATTTTGTTACATAATGGTTTAATACATTTTTTAAAATGATGACTAAGTAGTTGTTGGCTAAAATTCATTAGAATTCATAAAAGTAAACGTATACATCTGCATAAATTAAACTTCCAATAAAACTGATTTCTTTTATATCTGTGAGCAGAGATTTTCTACCTAGTAAGCCACTTCTTTCTTATGAAAGAAACTAGATCAGATGCCTCTGGGGGTACAAGAAGCTTATTTTCTGGAAGTTGCTCAGATTCCTTAAAAATAATTCTTTTTCTTTATAAAAAATAAAACACACTAAACAAAAAGAAAAGAAAAGAAAAACCACCTATAATTTCATCATCCAGAGATAAACAACATTAACATTTTGGCATATATTCTTTTCTCTATGTGAGTTTGTGTATCCACATATATATACAGACGTGTGTATAGGTATTTATATGTACGATAAAAAGAATTATAGCACATAGACTATTTCTAACCTGATTTTCTCATGACAGTATATTCTGAGCATTACTCTGTATCAGTAAACAATTTTCCTCACCATTTGTGATGACTTCATAGCATTCATTGATTGGATATGCCATTAATTCATATAACAAAATTTCCTTCTGATGTGCACAATTTTTCACAATTACAAACAGCATAGCACTAAATTCTCTTGACTAAATTTTTGCATACATGCATACATTCATGGCTTTTTCTTGTAGAAGTTGCCAAATGCTCTACAGAAAACTGAACCAATTTATACTACTATTTTGTAGTACATGAGAATATTATTTACCCACATGATGTTATCTTATACATTTTTATTTATTTTTTTAATTATAAATAAGTGGTTATTTCCATAGTGGTTTCCAGAGGTACAATTAAAAAGAGAAGAATAAGTATGTCTGGAAGCTACAGTTGCACAGTGAAACATACCTGGGATCTTCCAGAAGTCTATTTTCCTGAAATGGTGGTAGGGTAGTGATTATTTTCAGAGATAATTAATTAAAACACAGTTCTGCCTAAAAGCAGGATTGAATGACTGTGCTTCAGTTCCCAGTTATCCTCAGCCAATGAAGTGAATATATACAGAGAGATTAGTGCATCGATGGGCTAATTTCACTGGAATCGACTCTTCCTTATTCTTTGTCCTTCAATATATCCCTCTTGCTATTTTAGTATTCCACCAAAGAGTCTGTTGAGTCAACAGGAGTTTAAATTTTTAAAATACTCTTGGGACTGCTACAAGACAACCAGTTATTCACACTTTGGTATGAATTAATTCTAATTGGCTGAATTTGCCTGCTCCTGTAGCAAAGACCTACCATTACTAGGCCATGTGGAAAAGCTCTGGGAAGAATCAACATTCAACATGGGCTGCTTCAAGAATGATAGTTATCAGTGTTGGCAGTGAGGTGGCGTGGGGGTGAAGTGTGGCAAGGGCAAGGAACTGCATGAAGGCACCAAGACAGAGTTTAGTACCAGGGAAGAAGAATGGAGAGTGATGCTGAAGGACAACAGAGGCTAATATTGCTTTCTTTACAGCTTTTCCCAGTGGCTGACCAATAATTTCAGTGTTCTACTGCTAAGTCCTTTGAGCAGAGCTGTAGAGCCACAGGGAACAGGGCTGACTTGAGTTGCACCTCTTTCTCAGGTGTTAGAGGTAACAGGAAAGCCACAGCAGAGAAGGAAGTTTACTAGGAAACCCACAAAGTGGGTCAGCCTTCTCTGGGTAGACAGGTCTGATAGGCGTGGACTCACAACCAAGAGGTAAAACTTCATCAAAATGTAGATGAAGATATAGACTAGGCCAGCCTGGAGACAGAGTGGGCCTCCTCCATCATGGAGCCTACAGGGCTCCTAAGAACAATCTAACAAAGATGAAGAAATGAAGCAATTAAAAAAAAAAAAGATTTTTTAATTGTTATTGTCCATTTTTTTCTTCTTCTAAGGATCCAATTTCTCAGTGACTAACATTTTATTCACTTTTTCTGTCTCTCATTACAATGCGCCACTCTTCCCTCCTGGTCCAGCATAAAGACATCCCCATAGACCTTACATTTTCCTGAACATAACCTCTGTTTCTCTTGGGTTCTGTCCTAACTTGCTTCCCATTTGTTATAATCAAAGAGGTGGTCGTCATTTCTAGTGAGTCATCTATTTGAGCTCCATGCCACTCTTAGGAGACAAAACATTTCCATTGTTAAAAAGATTCATAAACAAAGAAAGGAAAAACATTTAAATTTTTCAGAGTTTCCTTTGGAAACCTACAAAGAACACATTTTAAAGCATTATTCATTTGTTGAAGTCTTGATTTAAGTCAATAAATAATATTATTGTGATCTGTCTATAAAATGTACTCAGTATGACTCCCTAGTGATTTTTTTTTTTAAAAACAAAGCCCATATATTCCAATTAGGATAAGCAGAAGTTTGGCATGCATATTCCTAGTATGGAAGCCAAACAGAGAAACTAGAAACTCAAGAAACTGGCCCCCTCAACAGAGACTTTCCCCACGTCACCTCCCTGGCATTTTCTTTCAGAGTTATTGCTACCACCACCCAAACTCCACATGGCTAAGTGTGGTTTGACCACAACTTCCTGAATGCCCCTTTCATGGCCTCTTCAATTCCATATATCCAAGAACTGATCCTTCACCACTCCACATTTTTTCCATACCTTATCAATTCATGAATAGTACTAAATGCTTCAGTGGCTGCAGATCACTTCATAGTGCTGCACTTTAACCTGTTGCGCCACCAGGGAGGGCTGCCCTGTGGCATTTTTCTGCATGAAGAGTATACAATACTTAAATAGTACTGAATACTATTGAATTCTTCAACGGTATTGCTGGTAACACCAGACAATAATTTAAACTGGAAATGTCAGTGTATAAGTTTCCTGTTGCTGCTGTAACAAATTATCATCAACTGAGTGGTTTAAGACAACACGTTTTTGTTATGTTAGAGTTCTGTCAGTCAGAAGTGCAGTACAGGTCTCATTAGACTAGATTCAAAGTGTTGACAGGCTGCATTCCTTTCTGGAGACTCCTAAGGGAGAATGTGTATCCTCCTTATTTGGGTTATTGGCAGCATTCACTTCCTTGCGGTTGTAGGATGGAGGTCCTCATTTTGTTACTGGCTGTAAATTGAAGGCTGTTCCCAAATTCTAGAAGCCACCCACATTTCTTGACTCATGCCCCATTCTTCCATCTCCAAAACCAGCAACATTGGGATGGGGTAGGGTTGGGGAATCCTTCTGATGAAGCACCCCTATGACTCACTCTTCTGCCTTCCTCTTCCACTTTTTTTTCAGTAACTCAGATAATTAGATGGGGGTCCACCTTGGTACCTTATAATTATTTCCCCATCTTATAGTTCTTAACTTTAATCACTCCTGCATAGTCCTTTTGTTAAGTAAGGTAACATTTACAGATTCCAGATATTAGGACATGGATATTTGGGGGGGGGGTATTATTCTATCTATTATACTTAGAAATCTAGTTTTAAATTATGGAGAATATGAGTTGCAAACAACTACTCTTTATGCAGAAAAATGCCACAGGGTGCCCCTCCATGGTGGTGCAGTGAGTTAAAGTGCAGCACTATGACGTAATCTGCAGCCATTGCAGCATGAGTTCGACCCCCAGGCAGGGAGGAGGGAGGTGACCCACATGGCATGACAGACCTCTCCTGACCTGCCCATTGCTCCCCTCAACAGTGTAGTTCAGTCAGCCTACCAGATCAGCTCCCTACTCTGTCTCTGGTGAATCCAGACCTCTGTCCTGTACCCCAGTTCTTGCATGCATGCATAAATAAATCTTTAGAAATGAACAATGCCATGGGTTAAGTGAAGGGCCCAGAAACTCAGAGTTAGTATAAGCAATAGAGCTGAATTATAACCTAAGTTTCACCTACCGGCCACTGCTCATGACTCCTCCCACCCCCACCTCCCACCCCATAGCCAGTAGGCCCTCCTTGTCACATGGGGCTATTGCGAGGATTTAAAGAGAGATGATGTATGTGCAATAACAGTAATAACAAACATTGATGCTTCTTGTGAGCCAGGCATAAGCCTTACTAAGGGCTTCAAGGCATTTTATTATTTAGTCAGCCCACAACTCCATGATATATGTGAATTAATCAACACCTGTTCTTTCTAGTCCTTGAGAAACAGAGGCTGGTCAGAGTTTAATGACTTGTTCAGGCCTCACTGGCAATTCATATAGAGCTGTGACTTGAACCCGGGCTGTCTCACATCAGAACCTACCCTGCGAGTTTCTATTCTGTAGACCATAAACTAGTATGTAAATGTAGGGTAGTCTTAATAGTGCCCAATATCTCTCTCATATGACTCTTTCCCCCATGCCCCCTGCCCCCTGATAAATCGAGACTTTGATCACCTCATCTATGAGTGAAAGACTAGAACCCCAGAATCTTCTCATTTGAAGGGATCATAATGCCCTTTGCATCCAACTGCTTCCCCAGTGCAGTAAGTCATCCACTAAATGCACCCCATTGACCACCAATCCCAATTCAGTTCCCAAACAAGTTCTATCTTCCCCACACAGTAGGAATTACGCTGAAGTTTCCCAAAGTTTGCCTTACTAACATAAAAATCAGGAGGTTTTAAATAAAACTGCAAATCTTCACCCTTTCAATATTGGAAGTTTTAGAAAATTACACCTTTACATCAGCTCTCTGGCCCTTGAAAACATGTCATGATTGTAGAAACTGGTGAAGATGACTCCATTCTCTTTGTATCTGAAAGTATTCATTGATGTTTGGACATAAATTGTTA